CGGTGCTGACAGTTGGGTTCAGCCGGGGATGAAGACTGAGATCATATGAAAATAACCGATACCTGGATTGATCACTACACCTAGATGGAAGGCCTAGAATCTTGTGTGTACCGCCATTGGCATGAACGTGGAGATATGTACTCGATTTTCTCTCAGCGGTTCCACCAGCGCCGCCCGGTCAGCTAACCTGCACGACGGCGCACCCCTCGCCGGCCACCTCGAACTTGACCGAGTTGGGCAGCTTCAGGGGGTCCGGGATCCTACGCTGCTGCGTGAGAAGGCGCGTGCTGGCGGTGACGCTGATTCGCTCCGAGAAGCCGCCCTGCGCGGACGCCGCCACGTCCACCGACATCTTGGGTGAGTACGTGGCAACGGCGAACTCAGTTAGCGCCGCCAACGCCACCACAGTGTCCTGCGTGGACACGAAGCCGCCGACGCTGTTGCGCTGCGCGTTCACCCACTTGATGGCGAGCGCCGCCTCACCCAGGTTGGTCCGACCGCCGAGCTTCAGCAGCGAGAGCACCATGTATGACGTCATCTCCACGTCGACGGCGCGACTGCCACCGTGCACGCTGGACCGGTCGCCCTCCCAGTGCAGTTGGCCGCCACGGCGCACGCCCTTTTTCAGCAGGGCGGCCAGGCGCGTCGCGCCCTCCGTCCTGCCACTCTGCACGAGCGCGTGCGCCACCAGCACCTCGGCATACAGCGTGCTGAAGTCGGACGTCTTGGCGAGGAAGTCGAGGCCGCGCTTGACGACCGCCTGCTGGCCGCCGGCCTCCATCAGTGCCAGCACCACGTACGCCGTGAGCGCCTCGTTGCCGCCTCTGCCGACGCCGCCGCGCATCTCACGGTGGAAGAGCGCGCCGTGCGGCCTGAATTCGCCGCTCGCCTCCTGGCGGCCGGCGATCCAGCGCGTGCTGATGTCCAGGTCTTTAGCATCGATGGCAATGTAGCGGCTGGCGGCCGCGTACGAGCGCACCACGTACGTAGTCAGCCAGAGCGAGCCGTCGCGGATCTTCGGTGTCCGCTCCGGGAAAGCGGAGTAGGAGCCCTCACGGCGCCGGAAGCGCAGTTCGCGCTGATAGCCTGAGGGCAGGAGCGGCTCGGTCGGACCGCTGGTGGCGTGCCAACACCGCTAAGAGCGGCTCGGTTGGACCGTTGGTGTCGCGCCAATACCACCAAGAGCGGCTCGGTCGGACCGTTGGTGGCGCGCCAACACCACCAAGAGCGGCTCCCTCGGACCGCTGGTGGCGCGCCAACATCGCCAAGCGTCACGACGGTGGGGGCATTGATGCAAACAAGGTTGGAGATGCAGCTCACAGCTTACCGGTGTTCGATAGCTGACGCAGGTCTTACAACGGGATTAACCAACCTGATCGTGCCATTAATGTTGGAAAGTACACACGAATGGCAGACCACTTGTGACAAGAGAACAGGCCACTTCCGACGGAACGATGGCAAAGTGCATATTTAAAGGTTACATCCGAATCGGGACGTTCTTGCAATCAGGAAAGCTTATAAGCGAATAAGCCCAATCATGCAAACTTGGTTCCAATCGGAGAAATCCGTCCAGGATATTGGTACATTCCACACAAACACAGCGTTACATGAGATCTGCCCGCTCATCGTCAGCATGATGATGGACAGACGCAGCTCTGGCTGTCCACCAGCTAACCGGTCCTCATGTTATTCGTAGTTCTTATCCGAAGAGCATCTGTGATCAGCTTGACTTCCTCAAGGTATCGCCGGACGAAGATGTTGGGAACAAAGCCGATCATGTTCTGCTCTCCGCACCCAGTCGGGACTCGCACCAAGCGTTCCAAATTCTGCATGAAAGGTTCATCTTTGTCTTTGGGTTTACAGTGCCCACAAAATTAAGGAGTGTTTTTATGGGATGAACACGAATTGGGCAAATACCACGAACACAAGCCAATATACTTGATATCGTTTGCGTTCTCTGAATGGAAAACTACAAAAAACAAAACAAAACAATTGGACCTACCCTTCATTAGCAAAGGATGGGCGAAAGACACTTTTTATGTAAACGCGCGTGCAAAGCGTTCGGGTACGCGTTTTTCTTAAACTTACGGCGCGTAAAATATCTCAGCATTTTTGAAGGGTCCCACCAAACATTCTCGAAAAAAATAAAGCGCTGCGAACCTGGGAAGCTGTTTTGATAAATAAGCGTTGTTAAATATCCTTGTTTGGAATATAAGTGAAGAGTCATCATTCTACAAAAGCTCATGTTTCATGTCATCTACACAGGTTTGCTAATGTTAACAGGCAATCACAATATGGCTCATGAAAATTGGCCAACGGCCTACATATATATATATATATATATATATATATATATATATATATATATATATATATATATATACATATACATATAGTATCGCTCTGGATACCACGCAAATGAAATATACCAAAGTATTGATACAGAATACTGTGACGTAATAAATTCCTTTCCAACGCAACATCAACAAAAAACCAGGTGAATGAAAAAGATGGCAGGGCCTTCCCCTACGCGTCACTTGTGCAGCCAACGACCGCGCCCGAATGTACCGGTAACACTCACCGCGGAGGACGGCGCGAGCAGGTCGCCAACGACGGAGATCCAGGCGCGCTGCGAGTCGCGCACCAGCGTGGGAAGCAGTTGCAACGGGAACGTCACCACTGTGGCGGCTGGGGTACCCTTCGGCCGGCAAACGAAGGCGGTGGACACCTCCTCCTGCGGGAAGCCCTCAGGCTTCACCAGCAAGCTGCGGCGCAGCGCGTCACTGCAAAAACACGGAGTGTCCTAACCGCCCTGGACTTTCCGATCATCGGCACACCTGGGCTGCGTGAGTACTTTGGTGGGTACTTGCGCCGAGGAAGCTTGGCTGCGGGCGAATCGAGTTGTAAGCTCTCGCCCTAAATTATGCTCGACCCATGGCAAAGCCGAACGGATCAACAGATGATACCGCACCGGAGGTATGCGGCAAAGCCGCTAAATGAGGATAACCCTCCCATCACGCATTGGTAGACATACACAGCATTCTGGGAGTTTTAGAATGTGTGACAATCTGTAGACACCTACGTGCGTGTTATTGATATATATATATATATATATATATATATATATGCATATATATATATATATATATAAACTATACGTATATACTACTATATGTCTAGATACTATGACACCTGGCCGTGATTGGAAAGAAAGTTGGTTCCCAGCGTTTATTTTAGATCGGTGGTTTCACTGACAAAGCATATCATTGTCGGGCCAGCAGCAACTAGCAACATTCTGCAGATGAACTGGACCTAACCTCCCTCTCGTATACGACACCTGATAATGAAGCTTCCCATTGGCGTACATGATGTCATGTTGGAGCACGTGTTTCAGGTTAGCTAACATTGGGTGGGTAACTGTCCGTCCGCAGTTCCTCTACTCTGAAGCAGCTGTTTCATGGTGTGACCTGTTCCGCCTGGCAGACGTGCACCGGGGAGCAGTTCACCTGGCCTGCACGGTGTTGGGTTTGCCGCAGGCATGGCCGCCCGCCCGCACCGTCGCCGTGATGTCCACATCGCCCAGGCTGCTGAACTGCAGCGGAAACCCCACCACCGACGGCCGGTCCGCCCGCATGCAGATCGCGTGGGAGCGTGGCGCGCCGCCGTCCACGCTGAAGTCCTTAGAGGGCGCCAGCTCGACCAGCGCCTACACACGCGGGGCGCTTGGTCAGAGCTCGGGCCATAGCGCTGACGACCGGAGTTCGGGACAGGATGCAGGCGGTCGGGTCGCATGCCTGGACGAGACGCGAACGGTGTAGAAGGTATTTGTTATAGACTGCTGACGACAGAACTCCAACGACGCGAATTACCCGTGACGCTTATTGCACATCACGAACTACTCATTCACGAGATTTACACGCAACATTAATTTAGAGGCTCGAACTGCTCATCTGTGAGCTTTACACGCAACATAAATGTGTTTGCTAAATTACCTATCCAGGACTTCTACACTCGACATGAATTTTGATGCACGAACTACGAATCCATTAGCATAACACGCGTTTGCAAAACGATAGTTTGACAAGGTGTTTGTGAAATAAATGTCACTAAAGCTTCAAGCAGTCTGTATAGATAAAAAGGTAAGCGGTCATAAAGCTATTATCCTGCGAATTCAACGAAATATTATTTCATAGCTTTGTTTTCTCCCCTGTGGTGTTTACCTTACTGACTCCTTTCGAAGACGGAGTCAAATGTAAGAATGAAATGAGCCAACTCAGAATAGCTCAAATATGGCCCTGAAGATTCCAGGTAACGCGCATAATTATATGACAGCTTGTAGCGTCTAACACTTTATCATGTGTCCAGTTAAAAAGCTTTGAAAATATGATGGTGCAAATGCGAGGATTTGTCTTTTTTCAACGTGAAATGTATGCACAGCCCGAAAGACACCTTTGTCCTTTGGAAACATGGCTCCACTGACGTGCTACATGGTCTACTTGGTCTACGTTGAAAACCTGCGTTGTACCGCACGAAGGCAAAGTGAAAAGTTACGAAGCAAAGAAACAACGGATTAGCGAACTAAATTGTAGCGGAAAAAGGGACTATATAGCTCAAGTTGCTGGTTCCGTTGCACTTTTTGTTCCTTTTGAACAAGTTTACTGTTCCGTTACCCGAAGGCGCGGTTCTGTGACTCAACCCACTAATGCAGTAACAGCCGTTGCCCACATTCGCCCAGAGATGGATGGCCAAATTACTAAACATAACCCGCTGAATCACGGATCGCTGACACATCTGTGTTCGTGAGAGCCATTTACCGACACATATCTGTTGATATGAGGGACTTGTCGGCAAATCCGCATTCGCGCGCGTCACTTGCCAACGTCTCTGCATTCGTGTGAGCGACTTACCGACACGCTTGTATTCGAATGGGTAGCTTACCGACACGCTTTTGTTCGAATGAGTGACTTACCGACACGTCTGTATTCGAATGGGTGACTTACGGACAGATCAGTCGACAGGAAGTTGAACACGGAGACCTTGAGCCGTAGCAGTTCGCCTCGCTTGACCGAGAACGGCACGTTGATCTCAGCAAAGAACGGCTTGAAGGTGGTAATGGATGCCGTCTCCGAGAGTCCGAACCCGCTCTGTGGACCCGGAGCTCCAGTTAGCAGCCGGCTTCAGCGATACGCTGTAGACTGGACCACCTCCGACAGCCTCAGCGCTGCGCACAGCTGCGGGTCAGGCTGGCGGTTGACTGGCGTCAGTATTGTATTGTCACGTGTTGACTGGCGTCAGTATTGTATTGGAACGTGTTGACTGGCGTCAATATTGCATTGTCACGTGTTGACTGGCGTCAGTATTGTATTGGCACGCGTTGACTGGCGTCAGTATTGTATTGGCACGTGTTGACTGGCCGGTGCGTCGACGCCACTCGAGCGAGCAACTGAGTGGGAATCAGTTGGTGGCGAGAGAATTGCATGCCATTCCGACGAGTTGGACATTGGCTACTGACTGCATGAAAACAGGATGGTGATGGTTAGCGCACTGACCAGTGGCTAGCTGAGGGTTGCCAGGTGCCTGACAATCCCAAATTAGTAGAGTCTGAGTACCAACTGAATGATGATGGATCGGGGACGTGCTGGGGACAGATACCGGCTGGACATTGACTGATGACGGACTGGGAATTCGATGACAATTAGCTGGTGAATGACTGAGGATTGGCTGTCAACTGAGCGCCACAAAACACAACAGCCATCTTGCTCACATCACATCCATCTTAGGAAAACCTGTAATATTCACGTGAAATACGTACACGATGTGAAATATACTCTTTTTGATAATGAAGCTCCTCACTTATCCTTGACAACGTTGTTTCAGTCCCATACTCCGTTTTTCTTACAACCTTTGAAGACAACACTTCTGACTCAAAGCATTTCACTCGTCACCGAATCTGAAATCCTGGGAACGGGCGGGCACATCGTCACTAATGTTACAGGACGCAGCGACCACATTGTGACCTTCAAGTTGCTGCAGAAGGCGGAGCCGACCCAGCGTGTGATGGTGTCTGGCATCTTCTGCTTGAGATCCACCTCACCGTCGCCCCTACCGGCCGGAAGTGCGCGGCGTTACCGGCCAGGCACATCCGCATCATCATCGCATGCGCGCGTTATTAAAAACATACACTCTGTCGGTCCGACAAATGACTGCCAGCGACAGGTGTTAAGAAACACTGTTGATCTATTGTCAGGCATTATCCAAAGATATTATCAAATGAAGTCTACTTAACTGAAATTCTGGCTTAGATAAAATCGGCCCACAATGTATCAAAGCCAGACAAAAATGAACACATTCCACGGATAAATTGCATGCAAATCAAAACGAAATGCAAGGGTTGCCACTGGGTCTGACAGTCTGGGGAAAAAGTCTGTCATTCTCAGTATCTCTGGGTGTGACAGTCTGGGGATCAAGTCTGCCACTCAACTGTAGTACCCGACATGGTACGTGTAGCGAAGCCATCCTGTCTCGAAACGGCTCTGCTAGCCGGTGAGAGACGATTCCTCACTATTATCATTACGATCTCTGACATCACTTGACCTGGTGCGATCCTGGCCATGCTACAGATACAATGAATCAGGCCCCATAAAAAGTTGAACATTATCCCTAACAAACTCTGAATGCCGATCATGACTCCATCACCGGCGCATTTACTCAAGGCTCCCAAACAATTTTGCATATTCCACCGCCTGACGCTGCATGGCAAGGCAGTGTCAGGCTAAACCCTGAGAGCCCGACTGGTGGGATGGCATCTTTTCTAAAACCGCATACTACTGAATTCAAATTCCACAACGTTTCAAATTTTTCAGCTACTTGTGTGTCCGGGAGACGGCTGCTGTCTGTATCGCATGTATTTCACTCACCCCAGACCCTCCAGCTGGAAGAGGAACGTCTCCGGGAAAAAGGAGCGTACGGCCACGGCCACGGCCGCTGACGCCTGGCCTGCTGAATTAGCCAACGCTGGTGACGGACCAGCAGCGCCTTCGAATTGAACAAACGGACGCTTTGCGACGCCGCCGCCGTCCCCTCTAAAGAAATTGCAATATCGGCAGATGGGCCCTTTCCGTCGCTCGCAGGGACGGGTCTCCAGCACCAGATTTGTCAGCGGCAGGTACCCGGCCTCCTGACGGTCAGACAGAGGAGCCGATCCAAGTCAGGCCAGGAGTTAACGGACGGGGAGGCATGAGTCAGGGGTCACAAGATCAAGACAAGAGAAGCGAAGGAAGAAAGAGCAAGAAAAAAGACATAGAGTTGAGAACATTGGAACGGGTAATGATGATAGTTAAAGAGAAATTGTGTGACGTCGTGGACGACAGGAAAACAAAGCGCCATTAATTCAAGGAGCGATTCTGATTTTGTGAAGTTAAGTCTTCAGAAGATATCAATGACTGTCAGTTGGGTGATTGGTTTAATTGGTTTTAATTGGTGGCTGATTGGTTTAACCCAGCAAGCGCGCACCTTGTAGTATGTGCTTTGCATGTATCCAATGATTGAACGTTATACAATATTACATCACTCCTGTGCTACATCTCCGTAATGGTTCCCGTTCGAGCGGACCTATGGGACGAGTAGGCTATTATCGAGTGAGCTCAGAAAACTTGAACACGCCTTAAAGCATTAGTCTGCTGCTGGTTGCACGTGTGGACGTCGTTATATGAATAACATGTTGGTTAAAGTGGTTGAATGATATACTCATCCTTGACTATTGGCAGCATTAGAGCAAGATCGCCGCCGGTTCATTTGTCCGCCCGCCCAGCAGTGTGAACCACCCTTCCCCAGTTCCGTAATCCGGAAACGTCCCCGAGTTTTAACAGCGGTGGTGGCCCAAAGTTCACGTCATATAATTCAATCGTCATACAACAGCCGTTATCATTTTATTGTAAAATTAAGATTATCTTGAGTCATTTCCAGGTCCACCCATGACGTTGAGATAGCACACGATCTTCTTCGAGGCGTGCATAAAATCTGTGGGTGTATAAGATCTGTGGAATGAGGGGGACAAGGGGTCATGGTTCCCCACGCTTTTGGAGGTCGAGATTGCAGTGCTAATGAGTCCCCTTCCCCACTTCTTTAGATTTAATTTCATTTAGCTTAGTTTTGTGCTACATTAAAGATGCATGCCGACTTACCCAGTTCGTCAACCATCAGACTGCGCTGGACAGAATTGCTTCATGTGGTAACCAGGAACATTTTATCCCACCATATACAGCGACGGGAGGTATTCTTGGTCAAACTCCACGTCGCTCTAGTACCTGAAGCTCTGTTGTCTTGCCATATAGCCTTTGTTCAGTTGCCTCCCTGATCACAGTGACTCAGTATTGGTTCGTAACGTTTAAGAGAGAGAGAGAGGGAGAGAGAGAGAGAGAGAGAGAGGGAGAGAGAGAGAGAGAGAGAGAGAGAGAGAGAGAGAGAGAGAGAGAGAGAGAGAGAGAGAGAGAGAGAGAGAGAGAGAGAGAGAGAGAGAGAGAGAGAGAGAGAGAGAGAGAGAGAGAGAGAGAGAGAGAGAGAGAGAGAGAGAGAGAGAGAGAGAGAGATATATATATATATATATATATATATATATATATATATATATTCCGTGTTGCCAGAGCGTCAGACACTAAATTAGGCACTCATATAATGCCCGTGTTACTACGTAACTTTCGCAAGACCACCATAATTACATTATTCGTCGAAAACATTAGATGTGAGCGTTTGCCCTTGGCATTATCATAACGCAATCTACCCGACCAACATATGACTTTTGGGCATTTTGTGAAACGTCGGAAGAACACTCGACGTTTCAATAAGGGGTTGACAAAACCGAGCATACCTTTTGATGTAAAGCGGCTTATGACTATTGTTTCATTGAACCATGAGCGTTGTTCATTGCGTTTTAGCTTTGAATGATATAGTAACTACTACTCGCCAGCTGTCGTCAGCTGTCAGCCATTTGGCACCCAGCTGTTTCAAGTACGTGATTATTTAAATGACTTCTTGAGGGTGCTAGCACCTTTAAGTGCATGCCCGTAACGACTGCGGCCAGCAACGGCGACCAGAAATACACGAGTTTGCGGTGAGCCTTTCTCAATGGGTCTGGTTTCAGGCAACAGCCGTTCAGCGGCCAGTGTTTTGGGTAGCGTGTCTGGCTTACAAGCGTAACGTGGTTGAGACGCTGTAGAGCTTGTTCCTCCAACAGAGACCTTTTTTGGCACGGTTTGCCCTATTTCTTGGTGCGTTGTATTGATTGGGCCTATGGTGCTCAGCCGAGACAAGTTCGTCATTGTAACATAAGTAACATAATGATATCGAGAATCGAAATGTTGAAATGGTCACTTTCAGTAACATCTTAGTGAAAATGTTCAGTTGATTTAAAAATGTACATTTATGTATGAGGTTAAATGTAAATTTTCATCAGAAATCAAGTTGAAATCAAGTTATCAATGAAACATGCTTCAAGTGTTAACTGAAAGGGAAGGTTTAATTTCTAAGTTTAGCGCCATTTTTGACTTTAAAAAACAGATGTAGAGTCTAGATGATTTACTTTTGATTTTCATCCTACGATATGAGATAGCGTAATGATGCTAATTTACAGAGGTTACACGGAAAGTCGGTGGTATGTGAAAGATGAAACCCAATGACTGCACGCAGTGAACCAGTTCATATATCAGGCAGGCATTTTCCCGCAAGTTTATGTGCTGCGGTGGCGTCGTGTAAGAGTGCACGTAAAGACATTCATCCTACGGCACTTTCAAGATCTGGTCTAGCACAGCTTACCTGGTCCAGATCCAACCCACACGCCAATCCACTTTTCACATAGTTTTCACTGCAATCCAGTCCGGTCCGCCATACTAGAAACATTTGTGATATCAACCCGTGCATCCACATTAAAATATTTTGAAAACTGTTAACAGCAGCTTGGCCGCTCCGGGTACTTTAAAATTCCAAACTTTTTTGACGTCCAGTGGGAAAAATGTTTTGGAAAAAATGGACCACGAATTTCCATTGGCCAATGGGCGCTAACTAAACACACCTAGCTGCCTGTTCAGAATGCAATTTTACATGGAAGTAAGAACAAACAAGACTCATCATGATATTTCTCACTCCAAAACTATTTTGGCCGACGTTTTAGAATTGTCAGCACACCACAGGGGCCAAAACCACTCATGGTTTAAATACCCTAAAGGTGTGAGGGTATGATCTAACATTTTCAGACTCCAGGTTAGGCGCAACATACCTACACATGCCACTACGCAGTTTCAGCGGCACCCATTTCACAAGCACAGGACGGCGCTCACCTTGTACGCCTTCTGAATAACTACAACGCCCATCTCACCTCATATATGACACTTCAAATGTATATCCATTCTGTTCCACGTTAAATGATCAAAACTCAACTGCAACCATTATTTCATGCTAGATTACCGACTGCGTTGACATCATAACCAACGTTTGCAGCTTTTCACTGCCAGCGGCACCTACTCTTTCATGCAGGGAATGCAAAAATGTGTCTTTTCGAATAATAGGTCAGTGACCTAATCAGATATGTAATACGCCGATCAAGGATGGCTGTTGTGGTTGCTGTCACTCAGAAATTCGAAATGAGCTCCAAAAACCACGTCATCCAGCAAAAACGCAGGCTGGTTTAAATCTTGTCTGACCTGCATACCTGACCCTAGGTCAAAAGGAACTTGCTGTAATCCCAACTTCATTTATTGAATTGCTTAAGGACCTATTTCAGAGATGTATGACTACGCCTACTTCACCGTTGTCACATCATATGTAACGATTCCTAGACACTGCCTTCGCTGACCGCCACTGCCAATTTTGACATGCTTTAGGTTAGCGATCTCACAAGGTGCATCTAATCTTGGGTGTAAAAAGATCCAATATTCAGTTGCCTGCAGCTTTGCAAGATTCGCACCGTTTGGAAACAATTGCGTAAAAATCTTCGAAGGGGGTCAAATTGACACCCGTCTCACCCGAGCACGTGCTATTATCATATTACTATCATTGCACTGCCGGTAGACCGAAAACATCTTAACATGAGTGCAAAGTTCCACACTCGAGGCGCAGCTTGCTCCAAAATATCAGCCGGCAGCCCAGCCCGCCCCGCCCTGCTGGCGATCCAGCCCACAAAAGCCCACTGCGCTTCAGTGCTTACGTGCCATTAACCCACAGGTAATGCGTTATCGCATGTGCATTGCACATTGCCACATCTTGTCTTTTCACTCTATTTTTATACCAACACGTTGAAATGTACATACAATGGCATGTCAGTGTCACCTATTTAACAGCATTGCTTGGCATTGATGTTGCTTTAACACCATTGATGTCTAGAAGAACAGTGGTCAAGGTACGTAGGCAAAGGAAGTACTATGACGCCAAAGTAGATCTTAAACGCTGTGATACAGTTCTGACGTGAAAAAGGAAGAAAGAGGATGTAATTTAATTTGTCATTTGAATGTACCTGAGATCTTGCGTCTCTACATCTACATAAGTGGGCCAAGGGCACTATCTCCTAAAATAACATGCATCAACCGATAGCATTACAACGATAGAACTGAAATGTTTGATTTTCAAACCATGGGATGTCTCCTCAGTTGATCATTGTTCGTAAGCTTAAACGTCATTCGAATGTGTCACAAATACCTCAATAGCATGACACACATTCAAGAATCAGAGACAGTCTCTTGCATGGCGTTGATTTTCTTCATTGAATATATCATGGTAAAACACCAAATAAACGCTTCATGGTAGCTTTGCAATGATCCGCATTTCCCTCTGACCACTATCCACTTTTCATCCCACAACAGCCGCCGTGCCGTTTGTGTGGTGCTGCGTGAAAGTAAGAACTGCAATAACATTTTGTCTACGCATATTTGCATCTCCATCGACATAATTGACACCTATTAATGTCTCCTAAAACCGTTAAGCATCGTTAGACACTGCACCAAAATTTTCATCGCAATACACAGTTGTAAACATAATCTCCTGAAACTTTTCCACGCTTCACATGGCTTGCTACCTGCAACTTTTAATCCTTAACAACTGTTTCAGTAAAGTCATAGGTTACGTAAGCTGTTGAGTGTATTTGCGTGAAACATTATTCGTATGCCTAAGACAATAATCAACAGAATGTTCCACATTTGAAATGTTGAGATAAACAGCAGACTAGCATCTCACTTGTAACCAATGGTGTGCTCTTAAAAGGAGTGTTCCACATTTCTGTTGGGTTTGAGCTGAGATAGCCGTCTTGAAGATCTTTCGGTGAAGACTACAACTATATCTTTCTTAAAACTAAGCCTCTCTAGTTTCTGAGCTACACGCATGCGGAAATAGGACTAATTTGTCGTGGGGCATTTTAAGGTCACCTTAGTGTTCATGACGCCAAAATAACGCAATTCAGATTCTGCCATGCCCCAACCCGTGCGTTGACCACATGCGTTGAACGACTTGACAACTACAACTTGTGTTGGCCGTGGTCGCCGCATGGCCAATGGAGTGGAATGAGTTCAGTGACGTTATTATGGTGTTGGTGCCAACTGACGGCTGTTATGCTTGGAAACCGTGTTTTCGCCAACCAATCAAACGCCAGATTTGAGCGACTCGACAGCCATATCTTTGTTAGCCTTGATCGCTGCACGACCAATGGAACGGTAGAACTTGAATGCCGTCATAAAAGTGTCATGGATGCCTCAGTGGCCTTAAACTAGTCTCGCCAAAATAGTCTGCACATCTTCGCGGGTGTGTCGCCCACAAACTAGAACGGTTTAGTTCCTAGGAAGGGCAGGGTGTGAACTGCACCAAACGATCTTATAGATGGCTATTTTAAATACAAATTCCGCACAGATATTGAGCACTTCCTTCAAATAGCTCTATTTCATGTAGAATATCAGGAGAATGGAGACATATCCAATCAGTTGACTGATACTACTGGTGGTCGTTCCGACAGTCATGCAACCGAAATACCAATGCATCTATTCCATCATTCTCCTGGCTATTCCACGAGGAATAGGGCTATCAATACTGCATTATCGGAGTCATGTGTTCATGAAAGTTGCTCTTACAAAGCTGTAGTTACAAATATTAGAAGAGATGAAGAACAAATATAACAACTCAAAACACATGGTGAAAACTGGTAACAGATGGACAATGGGAGAAACTCGTAGTCAGACAACCTTATACCGGATCGTAAGGGAGCAGGAGAGAGGAGAGGATGAGGAGAGAGAGAGAGAGGAGAGAGAGAGAGAGAGAAGAGAGAGAGAGAGGAGAGAGAGAGAGAGGAGAGAGAGAGAGAGAGAGAGAAGAGGAGAGGAGAGAGAGAGAGAGAGAGAGAGAGAGAAAGAGAGAGGAGAGAGGTTATTCACCCATCTTTCCTGACGCTCCATGAACTGATTAGGGAAAAAGTTATGAAATTGCTGTCGTTAGATAGAAGGAAGCGGCGAACCCCGGGCATTCCACAACGGCGGCGAACGTGGCCTCTGAGTTGTCACGAGCTACCCTACAAGTGTCACTACCTCTACAGTGATTCGGTCCATGCATGTGTGCGTAACAAAACATATCTTGTCGGAGGTGCAGAGCACGCGTTGCGCGCATGGTGAGACAGGAATATAGAGGGGTGGCAATTGGTACAGTGTCTAAAGTAATGGATTTACATGATAATGTTTGGTATTGTGTATCACTTTTTGAACATGCATAGCTTTTTGATTGCTGCTTCTTGCACGGTAAACCTCAATTTTGCAGAATGTGTAGTTTTTCTGCGTTACTTTCTTTTTTATTTCATTAATGCGTGGTATGTTATTGAACATTTCAAATTGCTTCAATATGTATGTTTTATTGTTGTTAATATATATTGTTGAGCATTTCGAAATGCTTCAATATGTATGAAAGATAATACACAATCGAGATGCTAGCACTCAAAAAAATTTGCTGTGAATATATTGTTCGTATAATACGTATACTTAAAAAAAACTTTTGCTTAGAACTAATCGGTCAGCAAAATTAAGGCGTAATTTATTGACCATTTTGAAGTGGAAAACACCTCGCAGAGCATCTTTGTCAACAAAGCTATTAGTTGTCTCCAAGCGTTTCCACATGGTTGAAACTGAAACGAATAGTTGAGAAGGCACCAGACACAATTGAAATTGAGCACGCTATCGATATTTTACTTACATCATATGCTTTGATGGCGTCGTCCTCTTCTACTATATAGTAGTGCGGCCGATATCGTCTTGGAAATATTGAATTTTTACGACCTGGCCTGAAAATGGGAAAAACTTGTAACTTCCTCCAGCATGATTAAACACGCTTATCTTGCATAAGAGTTGCTTTTAGAAAATTAAAATGTGTTTCTGTGCCCATGCATTCTTTCAAGCATTAGTTACCTCACCCTGAACGGCGGATGCATAAATGACTGGTCCGCAAATAAAAACATGATTCAGCACGAAACGATGCGTGAGCACACGCAGCAGTCGGGTCATTGTCCTCATCAAGCTTCAGCACAAAACCAAGAGTAGTGTTTGCGTAAGACGGAGCTTACATTTTAACTAACGTCGCTTTGTTCCGTACTTTTTTCTTTTGCATCCCTTCCTCAACTGTCACATTTTCACCGTGGATTGAAACAAAAAACACCGTCAAAGTTAACATACCACTAACGGTGCAACGACGACCGGAGAGGCAGCCCCCTGCTCCAGACCCCTTCCCAGCAGGGCAGAGGCAGCCACCCCAGCCGCAGCGAAATAGAACTCTGCCGGCTCAGAGAGATGAAGCCCACACACTACACCGAGGCCGGTGCACATCAGAGCGCCGATAGCCAGCCAACACCCTGGTGTTCAGATGTGCACCGGGAGCATGCATACCACCGCCGCGGAGCTGGGCTCCGGTGAGTCGCGGGAGCACCTGGCTACGGCTGATAGGTCGGTGGCGGGAAAGCGTGACGTCATAAGTCGGCCAGGCGACAGGCGAAACCCGGCAATACTCCGAAGGCCAGCTCAGTACGCCGGGGCCAACGAAGGGATCCACGTCAGGACGACTCGCCGCAGGGGAGCCGGGAGGCGGTCCCGGAAGACCTCTGTCTTCGGTTGGCGGAACCGTCACGTGAAGGCAAATCATGAATCAAGGGAGGGGCGAAAGACAGAGTGAATCAGAGAGAGGATGGAGCTGGCTCGGCGAGTGCCGGGGCAGTCCTGTACGCACTCACAGGAGGGGGAAATTTCACGGGTTTCATTGGTGGGGGGGGGGGGGGGAGGGAAGGAGCATAAGCCGCTATCTACCAGAGGCATCTTCGTCGATTCGGCCCACTTTATTCTAGTCATGAATTAGACTTGCTACAAGAAAGGCCTTAAGTTCTTGGTTTTTCGTGCTAATTCTGCGCTATAACGCGGTGTTGTAGTAGCATTCCTTCATTGTCGCGGAAAATACCAGGTAACAATTTTTAATCTTGTCTTGGTTCGAGGACCAGTTAGTTGCTGGAAACAAACCCTCCACTTTTTGGACACAGCATCTTCCTCTCATGGTGGATACCGAACGTGGCTTCAAATGATTCTGCTTCGAGGCTGCTCATGGAGACTGCTGAAAGGCAGCCATTTTTAGTAGCTGTTCAGCTTCTCCCGAAGATACCAACCACTGTGGCTAAAGAAGATGCTTCATTGAATGGTGTAATGTCAGTGCTACAGGACTGTCGAAAGTTCATTGTCCCACTGTTTTGCTTGTAACCACAACGCTTTGCAGAGGGGGGTGAATCCAGAGGGGCCGTTGAACCGACCCCCATAGGGCATTCATGTGATGTTTTGGTATCCTTTCGTAACACTAAAAACTCATGGGTAAGGGGAGTTCCAAATCCTTCATTGCGGAACCACATGTTCGTTATTTTTAAGAGCCACCAAATCTCAGGGACATTGGATCTCATGATTGGAAACAGTCCCAAATATACATGCTTTGGAAGCACCAATTTCCAGGGGCACCACAATATCCGTGCTGTGTACAACTGAAAAGATCCTGGATCGACTCATTCGGCAAAAGAGCAGCAAAGCTTTCATTCCGGGCGCCACAACCTCTATTTTTTTTTTAGGAGGAACTAACCCAAAGAGCGCAAGAACGGGCCCCAAGATCTTCAGTTTCTTGGGGCACCAAATTTCACGGTCACAACAGTAGTTGTGCTGCTCGCCTCATACGCCAACTAACCTCAGAGGAAAGTGCATTGTCTGTGCCGCTTCACTTGCCGAAATCCTGGATCGGCCCATTCATCGAAGGGACGCCAAAAGCTCCGCGGATGGATCGCGAAAAGTTGTTTGGGCAATTGTCCTCGTCTGCCATGCATGTAAGTTTGCGCACGTTTCGGCCACTTGCCTCTGCGGCCGTCGTCAGGTGTTATGGGGTCCTGAGAAGGACTGGATGGCATCAGCCATGTTTGCGTCACAATCCGACCTCTGTCCCTGGAATTTCTGGGATGCGAACCTGGGTCTTTGTTGAGGGTCCAGTGCTCTACCAACTGAGCTGAGCAGAGGGGACTCCCGCCCCTTGAAGGACTGTTCTAGTTAAGCTTGAATTTTTATATACTTCTAAAAGCATGTAGCATTGGATCCTCTATTAGCTTCTGGAATTCCTTTCCGTCAGTGAAGTTTCACAAAAATCAAACATAGCTGACCTCTCAGATAAAAGGCGAAATCTGTTTTTTGAAACTGAAACTGTGAAACTGTGTAATCTGAAACGTCTTTTTTTGGGGGGGGGACTTTTGAGATTGGACTCCCTGCTGCCTTTCCTCCAACAGGAAACTTACTTACTGCGGTACCCCTCTCTGATCATGACTGGCTGCGCCCGTAGTCACAGTCCAGATCAGTGCAGCCAATGGGGATGGATTTGTCGACCCTTTCGCCCGGATTTTTCCATTTTAGTCTCCGCAAAAAAATTTGAAAACAAATGCACACTTGACATTTGAAGATCCACACAATAAGATCAATCACCAATGAGAAGATAAATATGTAAGGCGATAAACAGCAGCAATTAAATATGTTCATCATAGAAACGATAGAACAAAACACCAGTACAAGCCATAAGGCAGGGCTGAAGTGTCAGTAAGGCAAATTCTCGGCGATGACGTGGGCGTGCAGCCGGATACACACATACAAAGGCTTCACACGTAAATCAGTCCTTCCAATTCCGAGTCACCACAAGAGGTGGCTCTTCATCGAAGCAATGATATATTGCACTTAACTTTCGCGAAGACATTAGGGTTGGGCCCTAACCGGTTGACGGGATGTGGTGATCGTTCTGTGATGACCCGCAGTGACCCTTCATTCGACGCCCGGTACCAAGAATGGGGATCTGCATTCGAAGCTGCAGTATGCATGCGCACGTGATCTTTTGTGTATCTCCTCTTTAAACGAGCTTTATCCCCATGTCACCTTTGCGTGGGAAGGTTTTGTGCGACCTGCGACGTCCAAACTTTGGCCATACGAATATCTCTACGTTCGAATACTCTTTGTACACACTTTTTCAGGTGAAACTGTTACCTGATGAACGTTATTATATCCAAACTTTTTATAGCACATATTATTGACGTTATGAACCTTATACCCCACGCACTTTGTCCTTATAAATTCTATGGACATGCCTGTTAATTTTACATGTTAACCCTACAGCCGATTCACATGTAAAGTTTTTCGATGCATATTTTTGTGCGCAATCCAAATTCATTATTGTCTCAACCTCCACCGGTAGCCCTACGCACGATGGGATTACTGCATCGTAAACCTCGCCGAAGCCGTTGAGACGGTGCAGCGTCAACTGTACAGCATCCCTCAGAACAGGGCAGGGTTCACCCGTTCACCTATCGTACCCCTGACTGACTTCGTCCCGGCGCCTGTCAAGCTCATCGTACTTGAGTGAGGTGCTTAGAGGTCCAGAGAAAGGCATCCAGGCATGGCGTGGACTTGCGCTTGCAGTAGACGTTGGGGCTCTCGATGAGGCTCGGGTAGCTGCCAGCGCTGATAATGAATTGGCGCAGCTTCGCAAATACGCTGTCCGCCGTCAGCTTGTTGGCGCTGCTCAGGAGCTCCACACTGCGGTCCAGCGCCGCTGCGGGCGGCAGTGGAACGATTAGCGGGCCTGAAGGTGCCGGCTGATTCAGCAGTCACTGGGGCAGCCGCAGGTGTCAGCCGACCCAGCAGTCACTGGGGCAGCCGGAGGTGCCGGCTGACCCAGCAGTCACTGGGGCAGCTGCAAGTGCAGGCTGACCCAGCAGTCACTGGGGCAGCTGCAGGTGCCGGCTGACCCAGCAGTCACTGGGGCAGCTGTAGGTGCCGGCTGACCCAGCAGTCACTGGGGCAGCTGCAGGTGCCGGCTGACCCAGCAGTCACTGGGGCAGCTGCAAGTGCCGGCTGACCCAGCAGTCACTGGGACAGCTGCAGGTGCCGGCTGACCCAGCAGTCACTGGGGCAGCTGGAAGTGCAGGCTGACCCAGCAGTCACTGGGACAGCTGCAGGTGCCGGCTGACCCAGCAGTCACTGGGGCAGCTGCAGGTGCAGGCTGACCCAGCAGTCACTGGGGCAGCTGCAGGTGCCGGCTGACCCGGCAGTCACTGGGGCAGCAGCTCGGAGAGTGGAAGCTTTGATAGGTACCATTTGCATGGAATAACGTCTTTTGCATATGACTAATCTCACATTTAAGAATTTGCAACGGACGAAATGTCATGTTAAAGCAAAACTGTGTCATTTTTGCGTACGAGTAACGACGGGTACAAGTTTGTAAAGTAGAAAATGTTATGGTATAGTACGAGTGTCAGGCAAGCCTCCTTGCGGTAGAAGTACCATGCCATGCATGTAATATGCACTGGGGCATTGCAGTAGAAGTACCATGTCATCACTGGGGCTTTGCAGTACAAATACCGTGCCATCACTTGGGTTTTGCGGTAGAAGTACAATGCTATCACTGGGGCTTTGCGACCCACTGAACTGAGGCTTGACAAAGAGAGGCATAGCCTGTCTTCACCCGACAGGAGGGGCGGGTACCCCGGGCATCAGAGCCGCGCCTCTGGCAGTAGATAATGCCACGTAGAAACAATGACTGTAAACGTTCTTGCGGTAACATAATGACGAGTGTAACATTTGAAGTGAAAATTTTAGCATGTAGCACTAATGCCGCTTATAGGCATCGGTAAAATAAGTAATTTCGCGTTTAGATCAACACTGCGTATATTTATTTTTGGTGAAAGGGATGGCGCATACACGGTTTTGAAACACGATTTTTGTTGTGCGGCACAGGTCACGCGTAAGTATTGGTAGAAGAATCAATGACGCGCTTAAGTAAATGCTGTACTAGTTCTGCATCAGAAGTAATGACGGGTATATAACAAGTTTTTAAGCATGATTTTTGTGTGTAGCACCGATATCATTGAACACAAATAATGGCCTACCTGACACCGACCTGATCATATACTTACAGACGCCACAGAGCGAGTTGGGCGCGCCGCGCACAGTAAATGTGGCCGTTTCCCCTGGCTTCACCCGCTTCTTGTTCCATGACACGCTGACCTGGAACAGGGCAGAGGTCACTGGTAGATTAACACGCTTTGACACAGCTGATCTCCCCACCGAGTCACACCACCGGGGCAGGCAGCCATTAGCGCTGGAAGATAGCAACATGGTAGAAGCGTGACGCTGGAGCTAGTGACCACCGTAAAGACCGAAGGGGTGTCAAGGCCGAGTAGTGGTGCGCCACCGGTGGACAGTGGTCATAAGAGGAACGGCAGGCGCTGCGATACCGTGACTTGAGAGAGGGCTGTGATCAACGACGTGGAAGTCAAAGGATTTCAGCATGAAACGAATGCCATTCTTGAGTTACTCACTTCTATTTACAGCAGCCAGCCTGTGAACAGTATACTCATGGAAATAAATGATTCATTCATCGGTGAAGAACACTGACGAAAAGCTACTACGTACCTTGTTTTGGAAGCAGTTGGCTACTTTGAAGGCCTTGGAGTCCGACACGATTTCGCCCAGGGAGTTGACGAAGTAGACAAGAACCTTGAAGACCGGTGACACGTCGAAACCCAAAGGGACTCTGATCAGCCCCCAGGAGTCAACGTAGCTCTGACGGATGATCTGGCCGCGCGTCATGATCTGGAACGAAAGGCTCTGCTCACAGTCAAATCTCAACCCCCTCTTAAAGCCCATAATCCCACAGCTCTTCAATCCCTACATCTAAATCGTGGATTTACCCTCGTCTGCACCTTAGAATATATCATGATCTCGGTTGGAAATGCTCAATTTGATTAATCTTCAAATTGCATAATTGTTGTAGAAATTGTAGCATATTGCGGCATGACTTGCGCATAAATGGAGCAAGGTAGGGCCCTACAACCACCTAGCATTGTTCTCGCAGAACACAATATCTCACAACAAGAACTTTGCAAAGTGTGTCAAAGGTTCAGAAATCCTGCAAAAGCGATTTACTGATAAAGGAAGCAAGGTTCTAGGATGGTTCTAGGAAGGTCCTAGGAATCTTCAAGCGCTAGGATCCCTTCTGATGTGCTCACAAGGCTCAAGAGCCCCTTAGGAAAAAATGCGAAAAGCAAGTTGCACTTTGCGACTGCCCCCTGTCGCCATGTCAGCGTAGTCGCGTCTAACGTAAAACCCTGTTGCAAAGCTACATCGGGTTTTAATGCTGCGACTGTTTTGCACTGATAGTTTTTGGATCACTGGTCATGTTAAGAACAGGGTGGTGCAGCCCGCTGATGGTTGCATGCCTGTGATCTAAACCCGGCTGGTCCGCTAAAGTACTCATCCCCGAGTCGCTGGAACACGAGTATGGCACGTTTTACCTCGATCTCCAATATGGCGGGTATGCCATGCGTCGATGATTAATATGCGTGGCGTGGCTAATGGAAAACAATGAGTAGTTTAAGTAGTGTTTCTTGTTGTAGACACCATTGAAGCACGGTATCAACGTCATAAGCATCATAGGTATTGAGATGATAGTCATCGCCAACCTTGGACTTCGGTACATTTGTCTTCAGTGAATTTCGGTACATTTGTCTTCATTTGTCATCTGCTAGGACGTGGCGAATCTCAAAACTGCCGAGGGGATATCACTCCAAAACCTTGGACCTGTTAACAACTAGCGTATTGCTCTGTGTTACACCGGCATCAACAAGCAAAGCAAACATTCAGTCATCTACCACTGTACGATGTACGACCAGCAAGAGAAGCCCTCCCCCGCCCCCCCCCCCCCCTCCCATAATTCAAAGCCGCCGTGCAAGAAATCCTTTAGCTTGATACGGCGGAAGTGTAATAACTTACAACCGTACAGAAGTGTGTCTTGAATTAGATCATGCAGCATGTAGATGTTACTTTTGTCAAGGACTTTCAGTGTGTGGTTCGTAGGATTATACCTAAAACCCAAATTTTACGCATGTAATGTCCATGAATGGATGCTCATAATGTAAAAGTCGTCTTGAAAAGAGGTATGAATCTGATCGAAGCGTTGAAAATCCGATGAAATCTAGGAATATTCTATATCCACAGACTAAAAACGACAACAGGAACATAGGAAGCCTCCAAAAACGCCCAAGTGGTTATAAGAAATGAATTTGCTGCTGTGCACAGCCAACAAGACGTACAATGCAACCAGCACAACCAATATATATATATATATATATATATATATATATATATATATATATATCGAGTGTATTTCATGACTGCGGTGGGGATGGGGATCGTTCAGCTTGAACGCGAACATGACATGTGCATTGATGGAAAGAGGGACGTTTGAAACAGATTTTGATTGCGCCCAAGTTTGGGATTGACGCAGTTGTGTCAATCGATAAGTTGCCTAAGTGATCCTTGATTGACGTCTGCTCAAAAGACGTTCCACATTTGAAGATCTTGAGCAAGGCATCATATGCGATGAAGTGAGATCACTTATAACTGTTGGTATACTTGTTAAGTGGAAAAGACTACTCTGAACAAAGCGATTTCTTTCTTTGGTAAATATGGTCTTCTGTGCGTCATTGTTTGATTGCGTTATCACGTCTTGCAAAACATGGATTGAGAGCCAATTGATTACCGTTATGTGTTTAAATTATATGGTGCGTGGCCTTAATCGTCGCATGCCCAATGAAATGGCAGGTTTTAAATGAGGGTATTATGACGTCATGGATGCCAAGGTGAACTTGAAATACTCTCCCCATTTTTGCGGGCCTGTAGCTCAGAAACTAGAGCGGTTTAGGTCTCCACAAGCGCAGGGCTGTGAACTGCACCGAAAGGTCTTCAGGATGCTTATTTCAGCTCAGACACATACAAATGTAGTACACTCCCTTTAAGATTCCATTATCCGGCATCTTGATATTTTTTTGAAACAGGCCTATTATCCAAAATCGACTTATTCAAATACAGCTATGCTCACTAATGGACTATGCCCAGTTCGCCTCTACGCTTACCATATACGTAAGTTGCCTATTTCCTATGTCGAATGTCCTCCTGACCCTCAAGACGAGGGACCCACTGCATTTCAAGTCGAAAGGAGTCTTCACCGCTTCTATGGACATAAATGAGTTGGATGGAGAGAACCAGATTCTCAGCCTGCTGCTGGCCGTCGATGACCTGATGCCTGCACGCAGTGCCTTCACCTGTAACACAGTTGTGGCCGTGAAACCTCCCAACCTTATAGTTCACGTGATTACACTGGTTACGGGAGACGGAACCAAATCTCTGGAGTGAATGGCCGTCTTGTACCAAAGAAAATTGACCCAAAACAGTAGTTTTGAATCGGATTTTCCCCAAAATGGTTTGCAAACTCTGTCTCCAAACGGTGGTTTTCAATATCACCATCACGAATTCAAAGATGACCAGTTTTGGGCTGTGTGTTCGGCCATAACGCTATGTATTGGAGTGCTGCCATGATTCAAGCACCACAAACATGAAATGGATTCTCATGCACACCACGCGAAGGCTAACAATGGGTGAAATAATTACAGCGTAAACAGATAATAAGCGGTGAAAATAAAGATGAAAGTCATCCAGGAAGTACATAGTTTCTATAAACCGAATTTTTTAAAAATCATCCATCGGCCTGATATGTATGACGGTCAAAGTCCGATCAACCTGGGCGGAACAGCGATATGATATTGAGTTATAGAGGTGTCGATATGTATACGTGTGTAGAGGGGAATGAAGGATATGGACGTGCCATTCAGCTAATTGCCATGTTCACAATAGTATCACAGTTTGAGGGGCATAGCACGCAGCGCGCGTGACACGTACATTCACATTCACATTGACGACACCCGGGTCAAACCCGGGGATCCTGTACTTGATGCGGCCGTTCTTGTCGCTGACGTACGTGCGGCACACCCGCGATCTGCTTTTTTTAGGCGTAATGTTGGTCCAGATGATAGGCAACCGAGCATACGAGGCGCTGACGAGCCGCGCGCGCGGACCGCCAATCCTGCCGGCCACGCGTCACACTGACGTCACAATGACGTCACACGCGTCAGACCGACGTCATGCCTATGACAGACTGGCATCGACGCATATCAGACATTGCAACATGTCGGAATGGCCCAACAATGACGTCACACGGGTGTGGCATTGACGTCAGACCGCCACTTGATGCACCGTACGATCGCCTTGTATGTTTCGCGCTTCTAGCACGCATCGTGTAATAAAGGCATGTGCCGGAAAGGTGTGTGAAAGTGAGCTGTTTGTTCACATCTGAAATAGAAAAGTGTGGAAACGCCTTTTCAGTGTTGAAAACACGAATCACTAATAAGGTGCTGAGCGTACAATGTCGTTCCTCGTCAGTTGAACCCTTCAGCAGCTCATACAGCTGTAAGTTGAGCCGCGCCCGACCGGGGACAGTTGACTTCGCTCCCGTGTTTTTTTCAGTACAGGTCAAATACGAACACTCACATCAAAGCGCAATGCATAGTGCCAATTCAGCTATCAGTTTAGCATCTTTTGTTTAAATCTGAAGTTTTGATATACCAAGATCCGTAACCCACGGCAGGTCAGCCTCTACAAAACTTTGACTGCACTTAACTTGTCGTGAGTCATTTACCTTTGCTCAAACTTGTTATGATAATAGGATATAACGATACCAACAATTTACTTAATTTAGATCTTTGTCCGAAAAAGCGAGGCCACTGACCAGAAGTCAAGTTGATTTTTATATGTTTTCGAAAATATTGCGGATTTGTACTATTTTTGTGTAGTTTTGGTGTTTACAAACGAGGAAAAGAGGACTGGCATAGATGTATACCGATCATATGACCACAGAGCACCTGATCTTGGCTGAGGCCATCACCTGCCTCTAAGGGGACCTTCTGCAGTACACATGCTGAGCTAAAAATGGGTAGTTCTATTACGTACTTTTAGACGCAAGATGTGAATACTCCATTGAGAAAATGTTGTGATCTCACTGTAATGCAAAATGAGATTAAAATAGCCATGTAACAAAATTCAGGGCCATGTGTGAGAGGTCAATCAGGGCCAACGACTACGTTGCCAATAGTGAAGAGTCTGGATGAAGGGGTGCGACGCGCATAACCACCTCCTTGTGGTGTTTACGAAGCTAATGACGTCTAATTTCATAGACCAACCTATCTGTTTTCAGTTTATTAAAAATACATTGACAAACATCGAAGAGACTAGATAATGTAGACAACAGCTCTGCGAACATGAGTCCTTGCCAGGGGCGCAGCCAGGGCCTTGGTAAGGGGGCACAGCTGGACAAAGTGCCCCCTGTTGGTAAAAGGACGCCCAAAAAACCGCCGAATATAACCCATTTGTTATTGAGAACGTGCTTTTCTGTGAGAGAGAGAGAGAGAGAGAGAGAGAGAGAGAGAGAGGAGAGAGAGAGAGAGGAGAGAGAGAGAGAGAGAGAGAGAGAGAGAGAGAGAGAGAGAGAGAGAGAGAGAGAGAGAGAGAGAGAGAGAGAGAGAGAGAGAGAGAGAGAGAGAGAGAGAAGAGGAGAGAGAGAGAGGAGAGAAGAAGAGAGAGAGAGCAGAGAGGAGAAGAGGAGAGAGAGAAGAGAGAGAGAGAGAGAGAGTCAGAGGAGAGATGTAGAGATTGAGAGAGAGGAAGAGAGGAGAGAGAGAAGAGAGAGAGAGAGAGAGAGAGAGCGAGAGAGAGAGAGAGAGAGAGAGAGAGAGAGAGAGAGAGAGAGAGAGAGAGAGAGAGAGAGAGAGAGAGAGAGAGAGAGAGAGAGAGAGAGAGAGAGAGAGAGAGAGAGAGAGAGGAGAGAGAGAGAGAGAGAAGAGAGAGAGAAGGAGAAGGAGAGAGAGAGAGAGAGAGAGAGAGAAGGAGAGAGAGAGAGAGAGAGAGAGAGAGGAGAGAAGAGAGAGAGAGAGAGAGAGAGAGAGAGAAGAGAGAGAGAGAGAGAGAGGAGAGGAGAGAGAGAGAGAGAGAGAGAGAGAGAAGAGAGGAGAGAGAGAGAGGAGAGGAGAGAGAAGAGAGAGGAGAGAGAAGAGAGAGAGAGAGAGAGAGAGAGAGCGAGAGATAGAGAGAGAGAGAGAGAGAGAGAGAGAGAGAGAGAGAG